AAAAAAAAAAATTTTTTTAAATAAAAATAAAACAAAAACGTGCTTGCAGAGGCCTTTGGCCATTTAAAGAAACCACCCAAACTCATATGGCTGGTAAACACAAGTTTCTCATATAGCATATGCTTAAAGTAAAAATATTCTAAATTAAATATATTTTAGTAAACTCCTTACACCAAGATGTGCAAATTGTGGAAGCTTCATAAATTAAAAATAAACAAAACTTTGACCCAAATCCACAGTTATTGAACCTCATCTACAGTTATTACCTCATACTAAAGTACACACTGAAGGGAAATCAGCTTTAAAATTCTGCAAACATGAATCTACAGATCCTCACCTGATTAGCCTTTCTCTGAATGATGGGAAAAATGGCTCAGTTCTCTTAACTGCTACTCAAAAAATGATGAACAAAAAACCCTACAAATTATAATTTTTTTTAAAAAGTAGGCTTTATTAAGAAGACAGAGGATGGGCTCAGTGGCTCAGCCTGTAATCCCATGCCTTGGGAGGCCGAGGTGAGTGAACTGCCTGAGCCCGCAGGTTCGAGACCAGCCTGGGCAACTTGGCAAGACCTCATCTCTACAATAAATCAAAAAAATTAGCCACACGTGGTAGCGCACTACCTGGAAGTCTACTTGGAAGGCTGAGGCGGAAGGATCGCCAAGAGCCCAGCAGGTTGAAGCTGCGGTGGCCGGGAGCGGCCACTACACTCCAGTCTGGGTGACAGAGTGAGACTCCAACTCAAAAAAATAAATAAATAAGACAGAAAAACTCCCACAGTGGGAGGGGACCTGAAAGAGGTTGTCCCAAATTATTGTTGTTTTTTTTTTTGAGCTGGAGTTTCATTCTGTTGCCCAGGCTGGAGCGCAATGGCACGCTCACGGCCACTGCAGCCTCAACCTGCTGGGCTCTGGCGATCCTTCCAGGTCAGCCTTCCACGTAGCCAGAACTGCAGGAGTGCACTACCACGCCCGGTTAATTTTTTGTATTTATTGTAGAGATGAGGTCTACACCAAGTTGCCCGGGCTGGTCTCGAACCAGTGGGCTCAGGCCATCTACTCGCCACAGCCTCCTAAAGTGCTGGGATTACAGGCTGAGTCACTGAGCCTGGACCACTATTTTTTTTTTTTTTTTTGAGTTGGAATTTCACTCTGTTGACCAGGCTGGAGTGCAATGGCACGCTCACGGCCACCTCAGCTTCGACCTGCTGGGCTCTGGCGATCCTTCCGCCTCAGCCTTCCAAGTAGCTGAAACTACAGGCGCGCACCACCATGCCCGGCTGATTTTTGATTTATTGTAGAGATGAGGTCCCGCCAAGTTGCCCAGGTAGGTCTCGAGCCCGCGGGCTCGGGCAATCCACTCACCTCGGCCTCCCAAAGCGCGGGATTACAGGCTGAGCCACCGAGCCCAGCCTAATTTTTTGATTTATTGTAGAGATGAGGTCTCACCAAGTTGCCCAGACTGTTCTCAAACCCGTAGGTGCAGGCAATCCCTTCACTTCGGCCTCCAAAAGTGCTGGAATTAGAGGCTTGAGACACCACACCTGGCCCAAATTACTATTTTAAAAGGAGACAGAGGAGACAGAAGGTGTTATTCTCACTCAAATGGAGACCAGTTAGGATATTAGAAAATAACATTTGGGGCCAGACTTGGTGGCTCAGCCTGTAATCCCAGCACTTTGGGAGGCCGAGGCGAATGGATTGCCAGAGCCCACAGGTTCAAGACCAGTCAAGGCAACTTGGCAAGACCTAGTTTCTACAATAAAATTTTTTTAAAAATAGACAGGCATGGTAACGCACATCTGTAGTTCCAGCTACTCAGAAGGCTGAGGTGGAAGGATCACTGGAGCCCAGAAGTTCGAAGCTGGGGTGGCTGTAAGCATGCGTGCCACTGTACTCTAGCCTGGGCGAAGGAGTGAGACTCCAACTCATAAATAAATAAATAAATAAAA